GTCCCCCCCCCCCCCCCCCCCCCCCACCCAGCAGCCAGCAGCATCTGGCATCGATTAACGGGACGGGCAGGAGGCAGGCGGGAGCGCCCAGGCTGGGGGCACTGCTGCAGGGAAGCTCACAGTACTAGCTGGGGGCACTGCTGCAAGGAAGCTCACAGCCCCTTCATGGAGTGTGGGGGGTACTGCCATGGGGGAAGCTTGCAACCCCAGACCTGCAAGCCAGGGGCACTGCTGTGAGTAAGCTTGCAGCATTAGCCAGGGGTACTGCCATGGGGGAATCTCACAGCACCCAGCCAGGGGCACGGCCATGGGGCACAGGAGTCCAGTTCCCGGCTGCCTCACTGCCCCCGCCCCCCCCAAAGCTGGGCTGGGCCAGGCTCACGGCGCCCAGCGCTGGCTCTCGCCCAGCCCGCGGCGCGGGGCCTAGCCCAGACAGAGACACCTTTCTTCTGGCTGCCAGGCGGCCGCGCGGAAAAGCCATTACGGATGCATAGCTCAACTCCCCGGGGAAGGCGCGAGAGGCCCGCCCCCCACCACCACCCTTCATCACCAGCTCGGCTGGGCAGGCAGAGAGCTGGGGGACAGAAGTGGGGGTTTTGGGGGGCTGGGGGTTCCCCTCCTGCCAGCACCATGGCAGCTTAGCCAGGATGCAGCATATTTGCCCCGGACGCCTGGGCCACACCAAAACCCAGCACGTGTGTATGTGCCACCAGTGCATGACGGCATGTGGGCAGACCCCACTGCCACGCCCTGACACCCCGGGTCCCCTGCATGTACCCCCACTGCCCAGCGCCAGAGCTGCTGACTCCCCCATGCTGCCCCAGAATGCCCTGGGGCACCGCACTGGCCCCCCAAGCTGTTCCAGAATGTCCTGAGGTGCCACACTGTTCCCCCTATACTATCCCAGAAGGCCACGAGGTGCCGCACTGACACCCCAAACCTTCCCAGAATGCCCTAGGGTGTCACGCTGCCCCACTATGCTATCCCAGAATGCCCTGAGGTGCCGGATGGATGGATGGATGGGCGGATGGGCGGACAGACCAATGGATGGATCCACTTGGATCAAGGGAGAGGAGAAGAGAGTGATGCTGGGAACAAGGGACAGCCAAAATCGAGGGACAGACAGACAGACAGATGGGATGTGGTGGGCAGGAGGGTTCCTGTCTGACTTGAGTTCTCAGGAGAGCCCCACTCCCCCACCTCAGCCCCCTCCAGGACTTCTGGGTTTCATCCCGGGGCCCAGAGACCCAGGATCCAGGGGCAGGGGCCACCAGCCAAGGTGAGCGCTGGGGGGATGGGATGGGATGGGATGGGATGGGATGAGATGGGATGGCAGTGGCTCAGGCTGGATCCCCTGATCCCGGCCCAAGGAATGTGGAGCAGCGGAAAGCGCCCTTGGCTGCCAGGGCCCAAGCTGGAGATGGGGGCTGGGACGGGACAGGACCGGGCTGGGCGTTGCAAGCTGCAAGGCTGGGCATGGAGACCCCCCAGCAGGTGCGACCTGGGAGAGACAGACAGACGCGGGCAGAGATGGGAGGTGAAGGGAGACAGACAGACAGACCCCAGGTGCAGAGGGGTGGGGGGACAGGACAGATGGAGCCAGCAGATGGACAGACAGAGGGACACTGTCTCCTCCCAGCCCTGGGGGGCCTGGGGAGCACTAGGCAGCCATCCCCACCCCCGAGATCCCTCCCTGCCCCGGGAGCCACTGGGCCAGAGGCTATTTCAGGCCCAGGGCGGCTCCCCGGGAAACCCAAGCAGCAATTAGAGTCCACGCCAGCACTGCCTGGGGTTGGAGGGGGGCAGCTCCTGGCTGCCCTCCCTGGCTGCCCCTGTGCCCCTGTCCCTCCGGGATCCCCCCCATGTCATGGGGAATCCCCTGCCCCCTCCAGGGGGAATCCCCTCCTGCCATACACACACTGACCCCCGCATTTCACGTTGCCCCCCAGAGAGTCTGCCCCACCATGCCACCCACACAGACACTTGTACACACATGCACGCACATCACACTTATCAGATATCTCTCCGCATGCACCCATGTGTCACAAGTACACACACGTAGACACACACTTGTCACAAATACGTGTCCATACGCACCTGCGTGTCGCAGGCATGCACATGTATTCACAGATATGCATGTGTCCCGTATAGGCTGGGGCATGCCCATGGCACATGCATACGCACACATGCACACGTGTCACAGGTACACACACGTGTGCAGGCATGTTCCATATATGTTCTTCAACATCCCCTTCCCATCCCATCTGGCCCCGGGACCCCAGGGACCCCCCCCCACACAC